CCCTCCTCCTCCTCCTCCTCCTCCTCCTCCTCCTCCTCCTCCTCCTCCTCCTCCTCCTCCTCCTCCTCCTCCTCCTCCTCCTCCTCCTCCTCCTCGCGCTCGTGGTGACATGCAGCTGCCAGAAGACCAAGTCGCAGGGTCCAGGAGGAGAAGACACCTTCACGGTGGGTCTACCTAACGTCAGTAGGCAGGAAGCTGAGAAATTCTTGCAGGAGATCGCTAGGCTGACTCAGGAGAATGAGAAGCTGAAAGAAAGTCTTAAAGGTCAGCCGGGAGAGAGAAAGGCTCCTCCTCCTCCTCCTCCTTATGCTGTTCCGTTTCAGATCTCCAAGGAAAGCTCGATAGGGCGTATGCCGACATTGAGGTGAGTGATAAACGAGGGATGGTGTTGACGATGATGATGCCAGTAGAGATTGTTGAGCATTGTTTTGCATTGACGTCTCTTAAATCTTCTTGCACATCAATCTTAGTCTTGACATGGGTGCAATCAGGCGAAGGATGGACATTTGCAACACCTCACAAACGATGTGCAACAAAACTCTCACTTCAAGGTTGGATGCTCCCGATGCATCTCCAGAGCGTCTGACTCTCTGAGTAGGATGTGACGACCACACAAGGGCAAAAGGTGAGGGAAGATGCTGGTGACGAGGATCTACTCAGATCTACACGATGATGTTCTGTGAACAAGTTGCCGGTTTGACGAACTTGTGGTAGATCTGTGAATTGCAAGACGAGCTGGAGTTCAAGAACATGGAGATTGAGGTGAGTTGCAATGTTCCGTCCTCCTCCTCCACCACCACCACCACCACCACCACCTCCTCCTCCTCCTCCTCCTCCTCCTCCTCCTCCTCCTCCTTCTCCTCCTCCTCCGCCTCCTCCTCCTCCTCCTCCTCCCCTCTTCTGCTCCAGTGATGTCGGCACAGGAGCTCAAGTCCAGACAAGACCTCATGCTCAAGGAGCTCGCCGAGATCCGCAACGTGGTGGACCATGAGCAGGTGCGGCTGACGGTGAGGCCGATGGAGGGCTGACGGGCTGCGGACGAAGATTACGAGCAAGGAGAAGGACGAGCTTATTGTAACGCTCCAGGAGCAGGCGAGACCCTCCGCTCCTCTCGTAGCTCCTCTAACTTGCCGTGAAGATTTTGTCCTTCCAAAACTTGTCGCTGGAACAAAGCAGGAATGCTGCCCCTTTCGTTGCCTTGGGTGCTGACGCTCGCGGCAGGGAGAACGATCGCGCTATGCAGCTTGTCGAGGGTCTGAGACATACAGAGAAGAATCAGGAGCAGGTAAACATCCCCTCAACAACAACATCCCCATACCCATCCTTGTCCTTCTCCCTGAATCATCATTCTTGCCATGATCATCATTGCCATCATCGTCATCGTCATCGTCATCCTGTCTCACCATCTTCGCTCTTTCAGGAGATTCTTCGGCTCAACGGTCTGATCCTCGACCTAGAAGAGAAGCAGCGGGTCTGTCGAGACCAGGTGGGGCGGGCCTGACTGACGTCCTTGAAGATTCAAACCCGACGAGTCGAAGACGCCTCGGAGAGGTGGAGGATCAAACGAGACAATCTTGCAAGTCAGTAGACTCTCCTCCTCCTCCCCCCGTTCCTCTTCCTCCTCCTCCCTCCCTCCCTCCCTCTCGTTCTCCTCTTCCTTTTCGTTTCCTTGTGGACTTTTTCTTCCTTCCTGCTCCGACCTCCTGCACCTTCTCCTTACAATCCGTGATCTTCTGGTTTCTTCTGCTAAGTGTCTCTGCAGCTCAGCTCACGGCCTGCAAGGAGGAGATGAAGGAGAAGGACAAGGTGAGGAGCCATCGACGTTCGAGGAGGATGACGGGGATGCAGATGATCGAGAAGCACAGATCTCTTATCGTCGAGTATCAATCGGGTAACTCCTCTTCCTCTTCCTCCTCCCTTGCTCCCTCCCTCGATGTCTTCTCCTCCTTACATTCCTCTCCCCATCTCCCCCTCTTCTCCTCTCCTTTCCCCCTTCCTCTCTGACCGCTCTTCCTAACATTTTCCTTCGATGCAGTGCTGGAGGTGCTCAAGAAGGCAGGAGGAGCTGGAGTAGCCTTCAAGCGCATCGAAGAGAGTCAAGTGTGAAAGAGTGGAGCAGGAGGAGAGGCCGCGGGGATAGCAAGAGGCGACTAGGATCTCGTCTTGTACTGTGATCAACACGTCCTCTCTCGTGCTTCCCTCGCGTTTCCCCCCGGCACCTCATGAGAAGAGATCGTCGGGATCTGCTGGCTTGCCGATCAGGCTGGGGACCTCGTCGGGCAACTAACATCCACGTCAGCCACATCCAGCATCCTCCTCTCTCCTCTTCCTCCACGAACCTTTCCGGCAGACTTGAGCTCCTTGAGCTTCTCCTCCTCTTCCTCAATGCGCTTCTTCTTGTAGGCCTGCAGCGCTATCACTTCCTCTCCTCCTCCTCCTCCTCCTCCTCCTCGTTCCCGCCGCTCCTAGCCTTAACTTTCGTCCTCACCTGAACCTTCTTGAGCCTCACGAACTCCTCGCGCTCAAGCTCGTCGAGCTCTGTCGCGATGTAACGAACCGTTTCCTGCAACTTTCTCAGCAGGAGAAGATGAGTACAATGTGGAAATGGAAGAGAGCGGGATCAGGAGGAGGAGCAGGAGCAGGAGCAGTTCCTACCTCAAGACGGGGGATAACGACATACTCCAAGGCATTCACACGACGATTGGTGATCTTCTGGGCCTGTGAAGGATGGGAGTGAGGCTGCGAGGCGGGCTCAGCTCGCCGTCCGTCACTGCACCTCGTCCAAGGCCACGAAGGCAGTTTGCAAGGAGGCCAAGACGATGAGGGCATCCAGAGCCTTCTTGAAGCTGCAAACAAAGAGATCAGCCTCCCTCCCTCCCTCTATAGCATCCTCCCAGTCACCTTGTCCTGCTCTCTTCTAACTTCTGCCCTCCTCGTGCGAGACCTAGGGGCGCGTCAACAGAGGCTTGTCGAGGGAGATCATCCTCACCCGTTAGATCTGCTGACTTCATCTCTCCTTCATTCTTCTCGAAGACAGGTATCTTCACGCCTGCTACGTTATCCACCTTCATCGCAACCCTCGATCCAGCCTTGCTGCTGACGTTCTGGAGGATCTGATACTTGATATCATCTCCGCCTGAGTAGTACACGCCAGCTAGAGAGAAGTTCGCCTCTTTCAGAGCTGCTCCCATGAGGTTCTTGTTCTCCACAATCTGTTGAGGTGTGGAATCACAACCAAAGGCAATGAGAACACGTTGAGCTAGGAGGAAGAAGAGCAGGAGCAGGAGCAGGAGGAGGGAGGTGGAAGGGGGGGAGGAGGAGGTGGAGGAGGTGGAGGGAAGAGGAAGAATAAGGAGACGAATGACGAGAACAAGGCGCACTTGTTTAAGAATCTGACGAATCCTGACTGTCAACGCATCTGACTTCTTCTTGAGCAGCTTGTGACCAGTGCTCGCGCCTTTGAGCCTGGTCTTCGTCGTTTGAAATGTCCTACAAGACATGCATGAGCCCTTCCTGAAAAGCTGATGAAAATCACTCACATTCGAGAGGGAAGAACTTTTTGGCCACTCATGTTTCACAACGATAGAAACCTGTTGATAACAAGCCAGAGGTCAGAAGCTGACAGACAAGTGGCGGCTGTTCGACAAAACGCGCTCCTGCCAAAATAATACTCTTCTTCCCACTCTCTTTCTCTTCAATGTTCATTGGTGTATCAACGATTGACAACGGCTTCAAGGAATCCACCACAGCCTCGACCCCACAGCCAACTACAGGACCCACCAGAGGTCTCAACCTATCCAACTGTGATGGCTTCCTGTTCAGATGATACATTCTTCTTGTCCCTTTGCTTTGGCTACTTCATTCACCACATTCACAGCCATTATTCTCTCCTAGTTCATCTCCAGCACTCGCTGCATCGCATCTGCTTCACAGCACATGTTCCAATCCCACATCCCATCCCGCCATGCCTTGCCCGCGCCTCTTCCCTCACCCTATTCCTATCTTCCCCCTTCTCCTTTTCTTTCCCTCTCCAGTAGACATCTCCTCCAGTCAGTCGTTCTCCACTCGCATCAATATCGTACATCTTCCTGACTGCTTACCCCTGCCCCCTCGTTTCCTGGAATCCACTTCTTTTCACTCTCTTTCCCTCTTTCCTCTTCATCCGCTCCTCCTCTTCATCCTCCTCTTCATCCTCCTCTCTTCTACTCTCATCTCATATCCTCTCCCCTTTCTCGTTATCTTCCTCCCTCCCTTTCCCTCCTCCTCTCCTCTCATCGTCATTGACCCTCATCCTTCTCCGACCATCGTCGGCTCTCCTCTCCTCTACCCCTCGTTCTGTACTACCCCTAATCTTTACTTCCTATACACTACCCGTCCTACCTAACTCAAGAATAGGGATCTGTACCACAAATTCCTACAGTACCAAATAATGGTATCATTTGTACGACTTTTAAAAATTAAATAATGAACAAAACCAATAGAAACAGAATAATCTTACTAATTTGTCTAGAAAGAGTTACTATATTTCTATATGACTTATATTGAAATACTACTTGTTAATATTATATTATTGGTAAAAGGCGAATTAAAATCCAACTTTTTGTACCGAGTTCATGCTCTACGCCTCCGTTGGAGGTACTACCCTACTTCTTGATTCAGAAAATGGGGGTGGGTATATACCACCCCTACCCTGAATATCCACACTCAAATGCACCCCTGGTTGTCTTACTGAAGTACCCCTGTGTTCTACTGGAAATGAACCCCACCATATGTTCTTCACCCCTACCCTCACAACTAGGTCAATTTGGTCGAAAAGCAGTGGGTAGCATGGAATGTTATACGTACCCCATCTTTTGCCTCATTTCAATGGGGTAGGTGGTCTGTGACCCTTGGGCCAATGGCAGGAAGGAAGGCGGTATGGTTGGGCGCAGCATGCGCATGGGGCGCCGCGTTCCTTCTACTCGTCTTCCTCTCCTCCTCAACAAGGTCACGGACGTCTGCTTCACTGCTCTCCTCTTCAAGAGGGTCTCTCTCTCGCCCAAGACTTTCAACCTCCTCCCTCACTCTCCTTCCTCGCCCGTTTGCCCCCAGGATGATGCTTGAGTCGGTTGCTGAAGTCAATCCTCGTGAAGCTCCTGTGAGCCCATATACCGTCACCTGGACAGGTGAGAAGGAGGCGGGTGGGGGGGGTGGGGAGAGGGGGGAGCTAACTGATTCATAGATTTCAACTACAATACTTACAACGAAGATATTCACGTATACCAGCCCTCTCCTTGTGTTGCCAAGCACCTGGCCCCCCAGGTCTCCGATGTTGCCCCTTGCGATGGATGGTAAACAGGGTTTGACCATGAAGTCCTTGTACGCTAATAACAATCCTTATGAAATCACATTCTAAATGATTCATGAAGCCATCGTCCAACGGGTTATGGTTTGGAGCTGCGGGTGAAGACTGATGAGACTGGCTGTGTTGACGGGTAGAAGTCAATGTCTCTAGCTTGCAAAGGATTGGGGCACAGAGCGCTGTGGGATGTGCTGGCAACGATCTTGTGACGCTGGGTATGCTGTGTTCATTGGGCAAAGAGGCGAGGAGAGCAGTATTGTGACGATGCTGTCTATCGGATGCGTGAAGAGAGAGCTAGTGAGTGGATGAACACGGGAGGTGAGAGATGTGGAGATACAAGAAGGTTGTAACAGGTTGTTGCTTGCTGCAAAGCTTTCTCGCCTTCGCATGATGCCGCGGCAGATGATGGAAATGGAGATGTTACATGTCACACGTTACAAGTAGAGTTTATGACAGGAATTTCATCCTTCACATCTGTATGTACACTGAGGAGACAGTCCCGTGCGCGCCTGTATTAGAGGAGGTCTCACTCGTTGGATCTCACTCGGTGGCTGACACGCTCTGAGGACGAGGAGGAGGAGGTACCTCCGCACCTCATATCCATCCTCCTCAGAAACGAGCAAGAGTCTGTCCTCCTCCACCTTGCCAGGGATCTACGATGGAACCATTCGTGGAGACGTTGTCTCGCTTCCTCGTCTGACTGCTTACAACTTCTTCTTGAAAGCAGCTTTCGACCTCTGCAGGTTGTGAGTCAGAGAGGGAGGGAGGGAAGGAGGGAGGGAGGGAGGGAGAGAAAGAGGAGGTGGAGACGGCAAGGAAGAGAGTAGCAGAAAGTGGAGAAGCAGAGGAGGAGGGAGAGACCTTAGCAAGGAGATTGTGCAGGAAGACGTAGGCCATGATCAGCAGAGCAGCTCCTGCGAAGAAGTAGACGAGAAATGCCAGGATGGAGGGCTGAGAACCAATCAGAAGTAAAGCGTCGAGCAGTGAACTACCTTCTCGTCGTGCAAGCATCCGATGTAAGTGTGAACGAACTTGCCGGCATGCAGCACAGTATTCCTTATCGCCTTCACGTCATGCCTTGTGCTGTTTCGCAAAGATGAGATTCAGCATGCGGCTGGCATGGAGGAGTGCTGACCTTCTGGCGTAGAAGAGAGCCGTGTTGAAGTTCAAGAGCGAGAGGTAGGTGGAGGTTCTGAGGATCTTGAACTTCAAGACGTTCCATCGGCGGACGAAGTGAACATGCTCGCTAGGCTGAAGGAGGATCATCGGGTGTCAAGAAGACAGGATCAGGTCACCAGCAGCACGTCCTCCATGTTCTTGCCGAACTTCGAGAATTGCTCAAGGGTCAAGGAGACCTGGACGATACAAGGATGTGAGGAAGGGAAGTTATGAAGGATGGAAGAGCACGACGGAGCGGATTATTGAAAGGAGAGGGAGAGGAAACGCAGAGATGAGAAGAAGAGCAAAAGTTGAGGAAAGAGTGATGAGGTGAAGATAGAGGTTGAAGGAAGCAATGAGGGGAGAAGAAAGAGAGTTTCTCGGAGAAAGGTCGAAGGATCACCTGGGCGATCGAGAAGTTAAGAGCGGAGAAGACTAGATTCCTCCGTGCAGCATCGACGAGGGAGAACGTCAGTTTCTCCGAGGTAGAGAACGGACCGAAGGGGGTGGCGGCAGCGGACCACATGTAGTTGACCTCCGCCTGCTGCTTCTTCCCGCTGAAGTGCTCGTGGGTGGGAGCGACCCCCCAGCCTGTCTGCAGGAGCGCTCCCAGCATTGGGCGAGTCGCGTCTCGAGGGTCGACCGTGATCATCTCGTCGGCGCAGGAGAAGTCAACAGTCGCCGGGCTAGAGCGGGTCTGGAGGGCAATCACCATCTCCGGGAAGGACACTGCCTGGTGGAAGCGGTCGAGGAGGATGAGTGCCGTGTCCTGGAGGTCGAAGAGGAAGATGGGGATCGTCCAGTGCTCCCTGTAAGCTGAGTCCAAGTCAAGGAACTGAGTCGGAACCCACCCAAAGATCCCGAGCTCCTGAGCGAAGCCGAGCTCCTCTTTGTTCAGGAAGTTGAGCAGCTGCTCGTGCAGCTCCTTGCTGTCCAGGTACTCGTGCACCTGCGTCTTCAGCTGCCCGCGAAACACTGTGCTGGTGTGGCTCTTCAAGGACGCGGCGTAGGCCGCCAGGCAGAACTTGCAGTCATTGAGCTGAACGACCGTGCGGTTGTAGAGGATCGTCTGCCCTTGGACGGCGATGTTTCCTCCCAGATGCCCCAGCTGCGACTTAATGTTGTCCCACCCTCGCACTTGCGGCACCCCGTCGAGGAATCCCGTCTCGTCCGCGTACTGCGTCCTGACCTTGGGGTCGTTGGTAATGTGAACGAGGTGCAGGCGAAGCTTCTTGGCCAGCGGGACAGGAAAGTGATGCAGGGAGGGCTCGATGAGCAGGTCGCTGGTCTTGCAGACCAAGGACACTAGCTCGGCAAGGAACTCTTGGATGTAGGCGAAGTGATGGCCTCCGTTCCAGTCTAGGCTCTCCACTTGAAAGTTGTCCAGCCTGGGGATCGAAAGCTCCGACACGAGGCCCTCCCCGGAGGTGTGAGGCCCGAAGAGGATCGGGCCTGCTGTCAGGTCGATCCACATGTACCTCTCCAGTCCTGCCCACATCGTCGTCCCGCATGCTGACTTTTGCTTCTGCTCCCCAGGAGAGCTACCCCCTTTGAGAGCCCCGTCATACCAGTACGGAATGTACTCCGGCTCGGACGCCGCATGCATCCATGCAGGATCAGGCTCGTGCGGCAGGTCGCCTTCATGGAAGGGAGGATGATCGGGGTCGTGCGCCTCTACGGCCTTGGAAGCCTCTTCCTTCTTAGGAGGGGCAGAAACCTTCTTCGGGTTCAGGATGTAGATGGTATGGGTCTGGGATGGGTCTGATTCCAAGTAATCCTTGCGAATGACGTCATCAACGATGGAGACGGGCACAGGAGATCCGTTCTTGATGACTCGCTCCCTGTCTTCGTCCTTCATCTCCGTCACGATCCAGGAACGTATCCTGCTCGCCAGGTCCTCATTTAAACTCTTTTTGGCCTTCATTACGCGGAAGAAGAACTTGCGCCTGATTGGAAGGCTGTGGGGAGCCCCTGCGCGTGCATTCAAGACCATGGCCTCCTTCTCATGCTCTTCCAAGACGGTCTCGAAGTAGCGGAGGAAATCAGCTTCGTTCACATTCACGTCGTAGTTTCCATCACCATCGAATCCAACCAGCTTGACATCGACATGAACAATGCTCCCGAAAGTCATCAGCTCCTTCATCTTCTCTGTGATGTTTCTGCCATCGTCCTTGGACCACTCTCCCTCCACATCTCCTGAGGATATCATCCTGTACGTGTCCACGTCTCCCAGCGGATCCTTTGACGGGTTGAACGACAGAACATTGTTCGAGTGCAAGCCATCGCCATCAAGAGGCAGTTCTTGTGCATGCACAGCCATAGCTAGGAAGCACAGAGCTAGCATCATAGCTCCCGCCCTCTCCCCATCGCTCCTCCTCCTCCTCCTCATCCCCATCGTTGTGTTCCCACCGCCACCCATCGCGGCTGACGTGCACCTTTTGACACCCACATCCCCGCTCACCCACCGGACCAGGCAGCTCCCGCGGCGGTCACTGACCCGCCGGTGGCCGCCGGGCTCCCCGGGCCCGGCTGCACTCCGAGGCTCCCGGGTGACCTGGCCCGGGGGGCCGGGCCCGGCCAGCCCCGCCAGGCCCGCCGCCGTCGGAGCCGATGATTCGGGGGCCGGCTCAGTCTCAACAGCGTGCCAAGAATCTTGTCGAAGAATTTTTTTATTTCTCAAGCTAACTAAACTTCGGAATCCTTCCGACAAGATTCGAGTCTTTCACAAACTTACTACCGCGAGTCAAGCCCAAAATCAGTAACTTCCGTTCTCTCAAGGGCCGCGCCATGATCAGGCGGCAGTGCAGGCGGCCAATCATCGGCGGTTCACGGTTGGCAATGCTGTCAAGTAACATGATCGTATCATCCGTGAAGAACTCAGTTCCGGTGGCAGTCAATCTGACTCTGATCTTCGCCGGCCCCCGTTGTTCTGCCGCATGTGGCCGCCGCGATACCGGTATCGGATGTATGTCACCGTCACGGTGCACGGTCGCTACTATGTCAGCCACGGTCTAGTTAGGACAGGACGGTCGGGCTCGTGTCACTAGTGCCTCTCCGACGCAAGTGGGCAAGTACGTGCTCCTACTGGCTTTAACACTGATAAACTCCGCTGGTCAGACTGCCTGATACACATCAAGGCCCTTCACTAATGTTCATTCAGTTCGCAAACCTACGTTGAGGCACCGTGATGTACCGTTACTGCACATACACATACACCGTGTACACGTGCACAGCGTTGACAGATCAGGCTGATGCCCTTTGACGCGCCTTCTCCTCGAGATGTCGAAGCGCTCCTCTCCTCGTGGGGCTTGTTCCTTGCAGCCTCTTGCAGTGACCTTGAGCTCTGCACCACACGACAACGATTCTCCTTGAGTGAGAGTAGAGCTACCGATCGCTTGTAGATGCTGTCCCTCAGTCGCAGTAGCCCAGTCTTCATCTGAAGAGAGCTTGGGTTGCTACGAGCTGTGACATGCCTAGTCGATACCGGCCGCCCACGGGTCTAAACACCAATCGCTCAAGTCATGTGAGACGAAGCCAGCCTCCTCCGAACATTCCATCTCCCACCTCAGGTCCTCACTGTCATACTCACTTGGCATGGGCGATGCTGTTGTCTCAGGGCTGGGCGCCCCAACCATCGCATCCTCCATGCTGTCAAAGAATGGGAAATCTGTAGAGCATGCGAGGGGGGGTAGGCTGACTTGTGATTCGAGCTGCTCGCTCCCGTCGCACGCCACTCCTTGGACCTGCGTGTCGTCCCTGACCTCTTACCTTGCTGGCACTTGCTCATGCTTGGCAACCAACGACTCCGTGTGTCGTGCCCATGACTTTCTGTCCCAGATGTCTCGCACGGTCTTTGGGCTCACCCCATAACATTTCCCTACTACCTCGCTTTCTGCGAACTTACTCTTGGCCTCGAGCGATACTCGCTCTTTGAAGATGCGGACGGCAGCGTCTGCCGTGAGCTTCCTGGTGCGGGTGGTGTCAGCATTCCTGCTGAGTTTGAGAGGACAGCGGATCGTGCTGGCGGACTCGACAGTCTGAAAGGGGTTGGCGCTTAAAGGATTGGTTGACGGCGACATGTACTCAGGCAGGTGGTCCCAAGCGCTCATGGCAGGTTGGTCCATGCCTGCGATTGACAAGCAAGCAAAGCAGGTGACAACAAGCGTTGAAGGCTGCACGGCGGAGACGCGACAAGACACGGACTGTGGAGAAGAAGCGGGTCAATGAGAGGACAGGACAAAGGACACAGGACAGGAGGGCTATCGGAAAGCAAGCAGTAGAGAGGGAGGAGGCGAGCAGCAGTCGAGAGGATGGAAGCGGTTCAGGGGGAGGGCGACTGCTTTGTACTTTCGGGGGAGGTTATTTAATGCGGGAGGTTTATATGAGATACACCTACATAGGGCACCCGGTATCTGGGGCATAGGGGAGATATTATTGTCAGACGCGAGATCGGATCCGGATCTCAACTCTCAAACAGGCTCGCGCGAGGAGATTTCAGCCAAGTCAGTACACCGTCAGCCGACATGGTATCTTGCGCCCGCGAGATGTGCCACGGGGTATCTCAAGAACTGAGGTACACTTGTCTCAAGCCCGGAAAAACCAAAAACCAGTCATCCAAATGCTCAGGTCATCCCCATCGGCGGATCATCGCCCTCAAGAGGCCGGGCTGTCGCCGGATCCAGTCTGCTACCGGACGCCGGGACGGCTCAGTGGCATGATCAGGTGGCAGGGCGGCCACTCGGTTGGATTTGTTAGTGGCGACTGGAGTCTCGAGGACACCAGGCCCCTCAGAGTCTGGATCCGAAGTCACGTGCTTCGCCGCACGGTTGGCGGGCCATGTGACTGTCAAGGAACATGATTATTATCCCTTCAAGAAGAGGACGCCGGAAGGTCAATCTGATCTTCTGTACGAGGGCAGCTTTGATGGTTCTGCGTGTGGTACGATGTATGTGTCAGTACTACGTCAGTCTAGTTTCTGGCCCACTGCAAGGACAGTCGGGCTCGTGTCACTAGTGCCTCTCCGACGCAAGTGGGCAAGTACGTGCTCCTACTGGCTTTAACACTGATAAACTCCGCTGGTCAGACTGCCTGATACACATCAAGGCCCTTCACTAATGTTCATTCAGTTCGCAAACCTACGTTGACGTACCGGGACCACATACACATACACCGTGTACACGTACACAGCGTTGACAGATGATGCCCTTTGACGCGCCTTCTCCTCGAGATGTCGAAGCGCTCCTCTCCTCGTGGGGCTTGTTCCTTGCAGCCTCTTGCAGTGACCTTGAGCTCTGCACCACACGACAACGATTCTCCTTGAGTGAGAGTAGAGCTACCGATCGCTTGTAGATGCTGTCCCTCAGTCGCAGTAGCCCAGTCTTCATGCCTAGTCGATACCGGCCGCCCACGGGTCTAGACACCCATGCATACCTGGCATGGGCGATGCTGTTGTCTCAGGGCTGGGCGCCCCAACCATCGCATCCTCCATGCTGTCAAAGAATGGGAAATCTGTAGAGCATGCGATGGGGGGTAGGCTGACTTGTGATTCGAGCTGCTCGCTCCCGGGCCGTCGCACGCCACTCCTTGGACCTGCGTGTCGTCCCTGACCTCTTGCCTTGCTGGCACTTGCTCATGCTTGGCAACCAACGACTCCGTGTGTCGTGCCCATGACTTTCTGTCCCAGATGTCTCGCACGGTCTTTGGGCTCACCCCATAACATTTCCCTACTACCTCGCTTTCTGCGAACTTACTCTTGGCCTCGAGCGATACTCGCTCTTTGAAGATGCGGACGGCAGCGTCTGCCGTGAGCTTCCTGGTGCGGGTGGTGTCAGCATTCCTGCTGAGTTTGAGAGGACAGCGGATCGTGCTGGCGGACTCGACAGTCTGAAAGGGGTTGGCGCTTAAAGGATTGGTTGACGGCGACATGTACTCAGGCAGGTGGTCCCAAGCGCTCATGGCAGGTTGGTCCATGCCTGCGATTGACAAGCAAGCAAAGCAGGTGACAACAAGCGTTGAAAGGCTGCACAGGATAGGACAGGACAGGACAAAGGACACAGGACACAGGACAGGACAAAGGACACAGGACAGGAGGGCTATCGGAAAGCAAGCAGTAGAGAGGGAGGAGGCGAGCAGCAGTCGAGAGGATGGAAGCGGTTCAGGGGGAGGGCGACTGCTTTGTACTTTCGGGGGAGGTTATTTAATGCGGGAGGTTTATATGAGATACACCTACGTAGGGCACCCGGTATCTGGGGCATAGGGGAGATATTATTGTCAGACGCGAGATCGGATCCGGATCTCAACTCTCAAACAGGCTCGCGCGAGGAGATTTCAGCCAAGTCAGTACACCGTCAGCCGACATGGTATCTTGCGCCCGCGAGATGTGCCACGGGGTATCTCAAGAACTGAGGTACACTTGTCTCAAGCCCGGAAAAACCAAAAACCAGTCATCCAAATGCTCAGGTCATCCCCATCGGCGGATCCTCAAGAGGCCGGGCTGTCGCCGGATCCAGTCTACTACCGGACGCCGGGACGGCTCAGTGGCATGATCAGGCGGCAGGGCGGCCACTCGGCAGTCGCCGGTTGGATTTGTTAGTGGCGACTGGAGTCTCGAGGACCGTGACCGTGACACCAGGCCCCTCAGAGTCTGGATCCGAAGTCACGTGCTTCGCCGCAGTCGTCGCCATGTGACTGTCAAGGAACATAACTTGCCATGATTATCATCGGCCCTTCAAGAAGAGGACGGTCAATCTGATCTTCTGTACGAGGGCAGCTTTGATGGTTCTGCGTGTGGTACGATGTATGTGTCAGTACTACGTCAGTCTAGTTTCTGGCCCACTGCAAGCCTGACAGTCGGGCTCGTGTCACTAGTGCCTCTCCGACGCAAGTGGGCAAGTACGTGCTCCTACTGGCTTTAACACTGATAAACTCCGCTGGTCAGACTGCCTGATACACATCAAGGCCCTTCACTAATGTTCATTCAGTTCGCAAACCTACGTTGAGGCACCGTGATGTACCGTTACTGCACATACACATACACCGTGTACACGTGCACAGCGTTGACAGATCAGGCTGATGCCCTTTGACGCGCCTTCTCCCCGAGATGTCGAAGCGCTCCTCTCCTCGTGGGGCTTGTTCCTTGCAGCCTCTTGCAGTGACCTTGAGCTCTGCACCACACGACAACGATTCTCCTTGAGTGAGAGTAGACTCGGGCTACCGATCGCTTGTAGATGCTGTCCCTCAGTCGCAGTAGCCCAGTCTTCATCTGAAGAGAGCTTGGGTTGCTACGAGCTGTGACATGCCTAGTCGATACCGGCCGCCCACGGGTCTAAACACCAATCGCACAAGTCATTTGAGACGAAGCCAGCCTCCTCCGAACATTCCATCTCCCACCTCAGGTCCTCACTGTCATACTCACTTGGCGTGGGCCCGGGGCGATGCTGTTGTCTCAGGGCTGGCCGACATGGTATCTTGCGCCCGCGAGATGTGCCACCGGGTCCGGGGTATCTCAAGAACTGAGGTACACTTGTACTCAAGCCCGGAAAAACCAAAAACCAGTCTCAAGAGGCCGGGCTCAGCCGCTGTTGCCGGAGTCCGGGCCGGCCAACCCCGGCGGCGGCCGGACCCCCGGGCCGCGGGCGAGCGGGCCGCCGTCGCAAGTTGCCCGGGGGCGCGGCCGCGGCGTACGGTCGCCGCGGTGGGTGAGGCCCGGCGGCCGCGCCGCTTACCGTATCTGAGTACCAGCCTAAGTTAGTCGTTAATGTCACGGTAAACTAAGGGGATCGAGCCCGGCCCCGGTCCCGACGGTCACTGCTGAGATTGCCGGAGTCTGTGCCGCACTGATTCACCGTGTCAACCGTTGAACAGCGGCTGCCGCGGAGGCTCAGCCGCTGCTCAGTGCTGCTGCTGCTGCTGCTGCTGCTGCTGCTGCTGCTGCTGCTGTCCGTCCGCAGCTGCCACCGCCGCCGCCGTCCGATCGCCGCACTCAGCACTGCGCCGGGCCGGCCCAGTGCAGAGTGCCAGGACTGTTTGAGATTTGACACCTCGACTTTGACATCGAATCCCGGTCCCTTCCCACCTACCACACAAGGTCCCATGCTGTCACCAGGAGGAGCACATGAAGGTAGCGATGCTGAGGCTCACATGGACTTGTTAGCTTCACGGAGCATTGACTCGCCACTGTAGCGTAGGGAGTATAGCTGGCAAAAGCGTAGGTCCCTGCGCAGCAGCCCACTTCTTTCAAAGCCTTCATGCCACTCTGATGACAGCACAGGAACGAGGTAAGTCAGGCTGGGGAAGCCTGATGCTCCTGCTCACCTTGCATGACCCCTCGCAGGTCGACTTTGTGGCGTCGCAGGCTTTGACGGAGCTCGAGGCGTAAGTCTTGTGGAAGCAATACTTTCTGCCATCTGCTTGGCCGTCAGATCGCCTCACTTGCCACTGCCCGATGCCTTACCCTTGGAGCACAGGAACTCGTAGTAGGCGGTAACGTTATCACTTGTCATTGAGGTGTACGATTGCAGCTGTTAGATCCGTTTAAATCTTGAACAGTCTGAATCTTTCTCATCGAGCAGAACCTACCACAGCACCGCACTCCGAGCGTAGCATGTTGAAGTACAAGACTCTAAACATCCAAACCCGAGATCGAACAACATGTTTGACACACCCTCAGAGGAAGTCGGGTCGGAGCAACCAGCAGTGCTCTTATACTGATTGTACAGGCTCTGAAACCTCGAGCTGCAGCTCGCTGCCGCCTGGCATACACTTGCAAGGTCTGATCCTTTGGTCGTGATGCTGTCATGCACAGATTGGCATTCCTTCTTGGCTGCTGTGTAGTCAGGGCAGGATGTGGCTGGCGCACAGCTCGAAGGATGCTGGTCGTGCTCGAAGTTGGTAGAGGCATCAGCGGAGAGGAGGCTGAGGAGGCCGAGGAGGCTCAGAAGGTGGAGGCCTGGCACCGAGACGTGCATGGCAGGGGGTCACTCGAGGGGCCGCGCAATCTACTTGACACTCCCTGAGCCTGTTCTAAGCAACTTTATTCAATGAATCGGAACGACGGCGGTATGATCCGAGTCCGCACCGTAGCTGCCGCAAGTTGCTGAGTGCGGCTCAGGTACTAGGGTCACGGTATGTAGCAGCGGGCTGGGCCGAGACGGACCGTCTTTGCCGCCGTCAGGCGGCCCAGTCGGACCGAGCATGTGTTGCTCACCGTACTAGTGAGGCTCACGGTTATGCGATTATCCGATCCGGGGAGCTCGGCGGCAACTTATCAATCAGTCCCCGGCGGTTTCCGACCTCGCGACCGCCGGAGTGATGGCACCATCAACTTGGATCAAGTTTCGAATCATGAAGGAGGCTCAGATTCCTCGGACCCATCCACACGCATGATCGTGACATCTCCCGCATTTGACGATACCTCGAAGGGGCTCGTTGGTTGAGAATCCAAGGATTGTGATGATCGATCGAACGACATTCTCCGCAGTTTCCCCGATGACTGAGAGAAGTGATGTATGAATTTTGGTCCAAGCCGCTCTCGATAGATCGCTTCAGCATCCTTGCTGCCATTTGAGCTGAATGCGATAGGCGAAATGGTCGTGTTTCCTGATTTTTTTCTTGTGGATGACCCGCAGCCCATGTCGACAAGTTTATCGCCTAACACTTCAAGATGCTTTCATCTTGAATATGCGTGTCAATAGTGTTGAAACAAGAACAACGAGGCTTCTCACCATGTGTTGCCTCATGGCAGTCTTCACGGAATTCCAATTACAACAGTATTCCATGAGCTGCAGACCGAAAAAACAATCAGTCATCGAACATCATCGTGATCTTGACTTTGGATTTTAGAATGAGAATTGCCGTGAGATTGGAGAGAGAGAGAGAGAGAGAGATGAAAGGAGAACAGGAGGGATGGGGAGGGGATTGATAAACATGGTGGAGGGGAGGACAGGCATGAACAAGCATGCCATTGAGGCCCAGAGCGTACGAGATAGGCTCCTGGCAGGCAGGCAGAGGTAGGAGCGAGGGGGATGGATGGATTTTCGAGGAATTGGGAATGGCAAATGTGGGAGGCAAGGGGGAGGAAAGGGGTAGAAGGTGAGGCATGATGGGTAACAGAGGGGTATGGTAGGGGGGGGTGGGGAGGAGGTCAGAGAGGGGAGGTCAGAGAGGGGAGGC